GGGGGGGGGAAGAAAAGAGGATCTGAGCTGGTGGTGCAATGCTATGAGTAGAGGGTGAAGGGTCTGGGGGGTAGTGTAGTGTAGTTAAAAGCTCAAAACTTTTGAAAACCCATGAAGGACAAGGACAAGGACAATCACATTTGGTACTAAATTAAGAAGGATTTAGATAGGCAGTTGAAATCTCATAATTTGAGAGGACACGGCATGATAGTCTTATAGTTGGGATTAGAATGGAATCTTTAAGATTGCGACGCAATGGTTGTTGTTGTTTGCGACTTTGTGGTGTGGAAATTGTGGTATTTGTGTAAAAGACAAGTCCCCCACAGAGCAGGGCAGCTCCCTCTATGATGGAAACACTGCATTCACTCCTTTATCATACAGCGCATATGGAACTGTTTCAGGAGAGAAGAAGGGAGGATATGGGCTTGGTTGGGTGTGGAAGGAGATTCCATTGGTTGATGAAGTACAGTACAGTACAGTACAGTGCTGATGAGTCAGGTACACTTTCCATGCTCCTACAAAACCCCACACAATTTGTCTCACACACACCCACCCACCCGAATATTTCCCCACGAGGCCACCACATAAAAGAAAGAAATTTTTTAATTTTATGTTTAATTCTTTGTTACTATTTAAAAAAAAAAAAAAGAAATGGGGGAGTCTGTACTTGTCTCTGTTGTTGTGGGATCCACGTAAGCATTTTGGGTATTTTGGTAAAGACGCGGCGAAGCGAATGGATGAGAATGGGTGTCTTCGAAAATAATGAAAAATATATGGTTTTTTTTTTTTATATATATATATATTGCATCTGATGTCATCATCTTGTATGGCTCGTGGCTTGGCTTTTGTAAAAGGGCAAAACAAAGACAATCGGAATCGGCGAATGGTGGTGATAATGCCGTGGAACCCACTTCTCGTGTGTGGTGGGCCATGCTGACGTGCACCGCACCATTTTCTTTTTCTTTTTCTTTTTCTTTTTCTTTTTTAAATAATAATTTGGATTCATACATTACATACATATATAATATTTTTAAAATATAATGGGACCCAACCCCATCTCAAGATTCGTTGCTAAAACCCTTAATAATAATAATAATATTATTATTATTATTATTATTATTATTAGGGAAAAGAGTCCAAGAGTGGATTCCAATTTGGGGTCGACTCGGCATGCAACATCCTTCCCTCACTTACTCCTTTCTATTCAATCCTCTGTTTTTTTATTTATTTTATTTTATTTTACCAAAATGGTCAAAATATTGAATGAATAAATGTAAATTGATGCACACAAGAAATAGTAATGATTTGTTGAGGTTTTTAAAATTGAAATCATCCGTTGGAAGACGTTGATCCAATCACACCAAATACTTCGCATTTATTTAATCATCTAATTAAATTATGATCCACTTGGCACAATCCCCTTCACTCTCACCCGCCAACGCACTATTCCATTCAATTTTTCTTCAATTCCGATCTACATAAATAAATTAAATTTTACATTTTTTTTATTTTTATTTCGTCGATTGAAGAAAATAAAAACCAAAACAATATTATTATCCATGCAACCTCTCTCTCTCTCTCTCTCTCTCTCTCTTTTTCTACAATTACACGTCATATTTATCAGAATTACCGTACAGATTAGGTTATTTAAAAGAGAGGGATAAATATGTCCGAATTCCGATCATCTCACCGGTGGAAAAAGATTGAGTGTGACGAACTGATTATTAAATCTCAATGGATTATTCGCTGTCGTCATCTCTATAGCACCGCCATAGCGCTACTAAACTCAAAAACAAAATTCCAATAATCTCTCCCTCTCTTTTTCAGATGAATAAATTTAAAAGCTTCCTCTGTTTCCGCCGGTCACCGCTTCCGAAGCTGGTCATGATCGAGTCTTCGGAATCTAGAGACCGCCGATTCTTCGCTGTTCTGGCGGCGACGGCGAGATCAGGGAGACACCGGAAATCCGACGGACTGGATGGGTAGAGTTGAAGATTTTGTGCGGTGGTGGTCCAGACATCGGTATTGAAAGTAAGGGAGGAATCATCGAGGTTGCGCGTGGGATTTCCCGAAAGTTCGATTCCGGGTATGGGGCGGAGAACTCCGCCGCTGAGAACGGTGTCCGCCGCCAGCTGACAGACGTGCCAGTTCCCGCTGGAGAAGAGACCAACGGCGCCGCTAACTGGGTTGACGGTGCGGCCGCAAGCCTCGAATAACAGAGACTGAAACAGAGCTTGAAGAAAGAAAAAGGGGGAAATCTCAGAGTTGATTTCGGAATTAAAAAAAGAAAAAGAAAAAGAAAAAGAAAAAGAAAGTTACCCGGTCTTTGATGATGGGGGACGGCGGCGATGAAGGACAAGAGATCACTACGGCCGAAGAATTTAGCGAGAAACAAGGTGGCGTTGGCTTGGGCTTCCGGCGAATGAATCCAGTGGAGACTGGACCTTAGAACGCAAGCTTCGTTGCAGCCCTTTCGAAGCACTCTGCAGCCGCTGCAACTCATCCTTCGCCTTGAATTGGGAATAAAACAGGTTCCTTTACACAGAAGCAATAGAAGAGGGAATAATTATATAATAATAATGACAACAACAAGGATTTGAGGAGGGCGGGGAGTGTGTTGGGAATGGCGGAGGAGTGAGGCAGTGGGTTAAAAAGACGAGAAAATTGGAAATGCTGTTTGGTGGCATTTGGGTTACAAAACTAACCCTGGTTAAGTTACATGTCAGAATGTTGACGGTGGACTTTGTAAAAGGGGTTGTGGGCCCCCACTATTTGGCGTTCCGAACCGGAATCAACCTTCCAATAATCTTCCAATAATCTTCCAATCCTCCAAACTCTGGGCGAGAGCGTCTCCGTGTTTCCGCGCCTCCTTCCCTTCTCCTCCCAATCCTTCAATTAATACCAATTTAACTTTATTTTTATTTTATATTCAAATTATTTAGAATTCTAATCTAATTTCATATTCGCATGCTTTTTAAATATCATAATTAACGTTGAGGAAGCAAATTTGTATTTTAGTGTTGTATTTTTTAAATTATAATTAATTGTGGGGACTACAAGCTTACGTATTTTTATTTTCTTTTTAATCATTGACTCAAAATATTATATTAATTCTTATTTAATACTCTTTCCATTTATTCTATTTTTCTTTTTCGGAACAATATCTGCTGCCGATGGTTTGGGCTGCTACAAATGGTATCAGAGCCCATCATTGGTTGGATTATGACTAGAACCTCTCCATTGTAGACGCGTTTTAAAACCTTGAGAGGAAACCCATATAGTAAAACCCAAAGAGAACAGTGAATTTGGGTTGTTACAAATGATATCAAAGTCCGTCGCTAGTTGATGTGAGACACTAGTCGGAGTAAGGCTAGACCCTCCATGCTAGACGTGTTTAAAAACCTTGAGAAAAAGAAGGAAAGTCTGTCAAATAAGACAACACCTGCTAAGAGCGGGGCTTGGGCTCTTACAACCATATTTGCAAAATGCTATCCATCTAACAATCACGACTTAGAAGACGAGTCTTTAGGATCACATGTCATTATAGTGAATAAAAAGAGAGCGACCATTGCTAGATCTTGAGTGATCACCAACCGAATATAATATATTTTGGATGTCGAAAGATCTATCCTATTTTAATGAGCCGAATCAACTGAGAGAGAATGGTTAGAGAGGTTGAAGTATGAGGTATTAAGTAAGATTATCTAAAAAAAGTGGAACTTTATCCAATATTTGTAAGAAGAAAAGCATAGGATAGGATGGTTGGGGATTGGAAAATTGCATAGAAATGGAGGTAAAGAAGTGGGTTTGCCTGAAACAGCCAGACCAACCAAGCCACTTATCCAATAAAAAAACTGCACAAAAATGAAAAGAAACAGGGGAATCTCTTCGCGCCAATCATATGCCTCTCCTCACAATCTTGCTCAAAGCTTGGGATGCTTTACGATTCATATCACTATTTGGACTCCATTAAAGCCTACCTCAACTCCTGGCTACCCCACAAATATCAAAGATGCCACTTTAATTCATTTCATTTTATGAATATGTTTACTATGATCAAAATACATATCTTTTCTAAAGTCACAGTAAAATTTAAATAAATTGTGTTACGTTTAAGTATAGAGTTCTGTAGAGCGTGCCTTATAGGCACGAGAGGCTTTAGGCATCTGGTGGTGAATTTGAAAGATGGAGTTGACAGCACCAAGTTTTTTTCTCCTCCGTTGGTTTGAACACAATAATTGACAATCTTTTGGCATATGGCAATGAAATGTGGAGAAAAGTTAGGGAAATATATGGAGGGAGCAGAGGTTGTACAATGGCCACTACGGTGGAAAAGGCTTTTGCTTTTGATTCTAACATTCAAGTTCCAAAACAGTCACTGTCAAAGCAATCAAAGTGGTGGGATTTGATCATTGACAAACCCCGAACGCATAACAAATCATTAAACGCAGAGACAGAGATTGGTGAAGCGCGATACGAGAGTTGGCTTGACTGTCCAATGGAGGCCTAAAAGGGCCATAGCTTATTAGAATTATGACCTATCTTTCATGCACATGATCTTAACAATTACAATTTTTAAAATGATATACTCTCGTGGTGGTTTGTACTGAGATGTATTTTTTACTCATAAATACACGATTACTCCCTTAATTAATTAGTTAATGTGAAAGTGTCTCTCAGCAATCTTCATCTCAAACAAAGTATACCATAGAAGCCTCTCCAAGGCGAGCCTATGTAGCCTTCAAATAGCCTCTTCTTAATTGAGGCTCGACTTCTTCCTCTTGACCATTAGAACAAAGTACACCATTTGTCAAGTTACTTTTGAATACACCTTCAAAACTAGCAACTTATTTGATAGTTGAGGATTTTATTAACATGCTATGTCAAGGATATGACTCATATCAATGAATATAAAGTTACGATTATCTCCTTAGCCAATGTGTGACTCCATCCTAATAATCTTCCACCCAAATGGAATTGTTTGCAATGTGTTGTTTATGGGTGTAAAAGTTAAAGCTGCATATTCCAGATTGGCGTTTCTTAGAAAACTTGCGTGTCAGCAGCCATCAAAGATGCTGCCATCACATCTTTGGACCATCTAGGCTTGAGATGCAAGCCCAATTCATCACTTGGGCGCCCATGTTCCAGTCAAACAATCATTTGAGCCTGTGGTGTCTAACTCAAATGAAAGTTTGGGCCCAAGCTTCAAAAAAAATTTAGAATTTTGGTGTTTGCTTCTCCATTCAGAAATAACGTTTCCCCTTGTGTAGTTTGTTTCTTCGTCAGTTTTTAGTTACTGAATTTGGGTTTCTAATCTGTAGGGAACAAGGAGTAGTGGTTGTGATTCAACGTGAGGTAAATGGGAGATTAACAGTACCCAAAATCCTGAACCGCACTTGAGCCTCCTCCTCCCTGGAGGGCGGCGGGTGCAGAGGCGGTGGCAAAGCGGTGGCTCCTCATCACTCAATCCCCATAAACCCAAAGTGGGCGGCTCATTGAAATTCCATGTACTTAGAAACCACACCCACTCAAATGCCCTGTTTCTCCACTTGGCCGGCCGACCCCATTTTTATATCCATATGCGTTGCCCCCACTGGCCAATCTCACCGCCCCTCAAACCAACTCCATCGCCATTAGTGGGGCCTTCTTCCTTTCTCTCTTCTCAACAAATCACATGAAATGGGTCTTCTTTTTGGACACTAAACTCCCTGCTTGACTTTTCTTTTTTATATTTCGTTCTTAATATCTAAATATTTTGGGTCCGACGTCGTCATCTTTAAATGAAACTCAGTAAGCATTCAAACTCATCGCCCCACACGCAAAGCCTACTTTTCAGACACACCCTCTGAAAAAGTCATTGCTTTGTGTTCCCCCCCCCCCCCCCCCCCCCC